GCTCACTGCAACCTCCACCTCCCACGTTCAAGTGATTCTCCTGCCTCAGCCTCCCATGTCGATGGGATTACAGGCGCCTGCCACCACGCCTGGCTACTTTTTGTATTTTTAGTAGAGACGGGGTTTCTCCATATTGGTCAGGCTGGTCTCGAACTCCTGACCTCAGGTGATCTGCCCGCCTTGGCCTCCCAAAGTGCTGGGATGACAGGCGTGAGCCACCGCGCGTCTATGCTTGTCTTTTGTTAAGTGCAGATTTACTGAGCGCAAGATGAATCCATAACTGACCGTTTCCTCTACCCGCCCCTTTTCACACGCAACACATGTACTCAGCAAACAGAAACGAAGCCTCACAAGAACGTGGCCCTATGCTCCCTGTTTCTTTCTTTCCTTCCTTCCTTCCTTCCTTCCTTCCTTCCTTCCTTCCTTCCTTCCTTCCTTCCTTCCTTCCTTCCTTCCTTTGTTCCTTCCTTCCTTTGTTCCTTCCTTCCTTTCTTTCTTCTTTCCTTCCTTCTTTCCTTTTTTCTTTTTTCTTTTTTTTTGAGACAGAGTCCTGCTCTGTCACACAGGCTGGAGTGCAGTGGCGTGATCTCGGCTCACTGCAACCTACGTCTCCCGGGTGCAAGCGATTCTCCTGTCTCAGCCTCCAGAGTAGCTGGGATTACAGGTGTGTGCCGCCATACCTGGCTACTATTTTTTTTTTTTTTTTTTTTTTTTGCATTTTAAGTAGAAACGGGGTTTCACCATGTTGGCCAGGGCTGGTCTCCAACTCCTGACCAGAGGTGATCTGCCCGCCTCAGCTTCCCAAGGTGCTGGGATTATAGCCCCTGCACCCAGCCTGTTCCCTCTTTTTTTTTTTTCTTTCCTCCTTCCTCTCCTGCCCACTTTTCGCCTTTAAATATTGAGGCCCTCAAAATCCTGTTCAGAGGAGAAAGCGTGGGCCATAGATCCTGCTGGGGCTTGTGTGTCTTTTTCCTGGGTGTGTCCTCAACCTTGGCAAAATAAACCTCTACATCAACCGGGCTCGCCTCAGTCCTTTTCTTCGGTTGTTCACACTTGACCGGCAGCTCCCTGGAGACCATCTGTGAAATGTAGGTGATAATGACAGTGACCATCTCCGAGGGCTCCCGGGAGGGCTGGGCAAGGCCATTTGGGCTCAGAGCTGGCCAGGGTGTGTGCTCAGCATGGGGGCACCCTCTGTGGCCAGGAGGCAGGACACAGGCAGACAGGCTCTGCCTGGCTCGGCCCTGACGAACTTCCTCCATGTTCCCTCAGTGCACACTTCTTCCTGGAGATAGAAGGGTTTGAGCCCAACCCTGCGGTTGCCAAGACCTCTCCCCCTGTCTTCTCCAAGCCCATGGATTCCAACATCCGGCAGTGGTAAGTATGGGCCCCAGCCCAACCCCCTGCCCTGGGCCCAGCCCTCAGCTCCAGAATGTGGCCAGTGACTTGCCCTGGTAATGGGGCCAGGCCTGGCTGTGGCATGCTACCACTGTCTATTATACAACTTTATTATTATTTATTTATTTGAGACAGAGTGTCGCTCTGTTGCCCAGGCTGGAGTGCAGTGGCCCAATCTCAGCTCACTGCAGCCTCCACCTCCCGGGTTTAAGTGATTCTCCTGTCTCAGTCTCCCAAGTAGCTGGGATTACAGGCACATGCCACCACACCTGGCTAGTTTTTGTATTTTTAGTAGAGACGATTTAGTAGAGACAGTTTAGTTTCACCATGTTGACCAGGCTGGTCTTGAACTCGTGACCTCAAGTAATCCACCTGCCTCGGCCTCCCAAAGTGCTGGGATTACATGCATGAGCCACCTCATCCGGCCCATTTTAAAACTTTAAAACCCTCTCTGTTCCCTCCGCCAACACCTCCAGCATCTCTGGCAACTGTGATGACATGGACTCCCCCCAGTCTCCTCAGGATGATGTGACAGAGACCCCATCCAATCCCAACAGCCCCGGGTAAGTCTGCCCCTCCTCCCACTGTGCCCACTCAGGCTGGGGGTGCCAGAGAGGCAGGATCCGGGGCCCTGCGGGAAAGAGAAAGAATTCACCATTCCTGGGGATTGGGACAAGTGGAGTCACGGGTCTATGGCAGGTAGGACGTGCTGGGGGAAGGAGTGGAGTATTGAATTTTATAAAACTCATCCATTATGAAACATTCAAACAGCAGGACGCAGTGGAACAAGAACTGTAGCACGATACTGTTTATGTGAACTAAAAATACATGGCCGGGTGCGGTGGCTCACGCCTGTCATCCCAGCACTTTGGGAAGCCGAGGCAGGCAGACCATGAGGTCAGGAGTTCAAGACCAGCCTGACCAACATGGTGAAATCCTGTCTCTACTAAAAATACAAAAATTAGCCAGGCGTGGTGGCGCATGCCTGTAATCCCAGCCACTCAGGCGGCTGAGGCAGGAGAATCGCTTGTACCCTGGAGGTGGAGGTTGCAGTGAGCTGAGATTGTGCCACTATACTCCAGCCTGGGTGACAGAGCAAGACTCTGTCTCAAAAAAAAAAAAAAAAAAAGAAACAAAATACGTGTGCCCAATATCCATATGCATTTTGCAAGAACACATAGAAACAAAAGGAGATCATCGTGGCTAACACGGTGAAACCCTGTCTCTACTAAAAATACAAAAAATTAACCAGACGTGGTGGCAGGTGCCTGTAGTCCCAGCTACTCAGGAGGCTGAGGCAGGAGAATGGCATGAACCCGGGAGGCGGAGCTTGTGGTGAGCCGAGATGGCGCCACTGCACTCCAGCCTGGGTGACAGAGCGAGACTCCGTCTCAAAAAAGAAAAGAAACAAAAGGAGACATCAACGGTTACCACGGTTGCTTATCTGGAGTGGGAGGACAGGGAGGGATAGATTTAAAAAGTTCAAACAACATAAAATATGAAATCTCATATTTTCAAGGTAATGTCTATTAATAGGCATAGATCCTTCCTGATCATTACTGCATGCAGCCAAATACAGGTATTTTGACAGAAGGTGATTGCATGTGGATTACAAGGGGAGCCTGATGGGTCCACACAGCCCAGGGGTTTGCAGGCATTGTGACAGGCATGGGAGATGTTGGCAGCAGGTGCAGCGCCCTGCAGGCAGCTCTGGCGGGGAAAAGGAGAGATTGAGCTTGAGAGGACGTGTGTGGTGAGTTGGAAACATTTTCTGGCTCAGTGCACACCTGGCCAAGGAAGAGCAGAGGAGGAAAAAGAGGCGGCTGAAGAAGCGCATCTTTGCAGCCGTGTCTGAGGGCTGCGTGGAGGAGCTGGTGGAGCTGCTGGTGGAGCTGCAGGAGCTTTGCAGACGGCGCCGTGACGAGGATGTGCCTGGTGAGTGTCTGAGCCTGGCAGAGGGTACGGGGCTGGGACCCCGCTTGACTTCCGTTGTCCATCTTCCCCTCCCCTCACCAACCCGTGGGGCTGGAGTGTGAGGGGCCTTGAATTCTGGCGAGGGACTTTGAACTTGATTCCAAGGAGAATGGGGAACCACAGAAAGGTTTGGGCAGGTGAGAGTCGGGCGAGAGATGGGGGGTGAAGCTGGAGAAGGCCACTGTTCAGGCAGGGCTGGGACCCTGAAGCAGGGCTTGAGAAGGGGAACGGTTCCAGGCAGCTCCTCAGCCAGTAGCACGGGCAGGACTTGAGGACCTGGGGAGTGAGGGACGGGGGGTCCAGCATGGTGCCATTTAGACTTGGGTAGCCTGGTGGCTGGTGGAGCCCTGGGTGTGCAGGGACCAGTGCAGTATCAGGTTGATGGGGAGGCCATGAGCTGAGCTTTATTTGCAGGCCACAAGGAGGGGGCAGGCTGGAGAAAGAGGTTCTGGGGTGGACAGTGGGAGGCCACACCGTGGGGAAAGAGTAAAAGGCCTCAGATAAGGCTCCCATGGGCCACAGAGAGCAAGGAGCCAGCAAAGGAGACGGAGGAGGAACAGCTGGAGAGGGAGGAGGAGAGCGGCCAAGTGTGAGACCTGGGAGCAGGGGTGTAGAGCAGGGGCTTGAGGTCTGCGGCTGCAGCTCCCACACCCTCTGAGCTGGTAGGGCCAAGGGCAGCCGGGGACGCCTGTAACTCCGTCCCACGTCCCTGCCTGCAGACTTCCTCATGCACAAGCTGACGGCCTCCGACACGGGGAAGACCTGCCTGATGAAGGCCTTGTTAAACATCAACCCCAACACCGAGGAGATCGTGCGGGTCCTGCTTGCCTTTGCCGAAGAGAACGACATCCTGGGCAGGTTCATCAATGCCGAGTACACAGAAGAGGCCTACGAAGGTATCCTGCCCACAGAGGGGCTGTGCAGATAGGAGTCTCTGAGGGTGGGGTGTGGGGCTGCGGGGCCACAGGGCCACAGGGCCGCTGCTGGCCAGGCCACGTGGAGGCACGGCTGCCACTGAGGAGCCCCAAGCATGTAGCATGGTGCCTGGGAAGCTTCAGGTACTCCTTTCTTTCTTCCTTCATTCTGCAAATAATTTTGAGCATTGGTTCCATGCCAGGCATTGTTTTTGGCATGGGCATGCATTGGTGAACAACACAGGTTAAAGTCACTGCTCTAAGGCTGGGCACAGTGGCTTACGCCTGGAATCCCAGCACTTTGGGAGGCCGAGGCGGGTGGTTCATCTGAGGTCAGGAGTTCAAGGCCAGCCTGACCAACATGGTGAAACCCCATCTCTACTAAAAATACAAAAATTAGCCGGGCGTGGTGGCAGGTGCCTGTAATCCCAGCTACTTGGGAGGTTGAGGCAGGAGAATCACCAGAACCCAGGAGGAGGAGGTTGCAGTGAGCCGAGATTGCCATCGCACCCCAGCCTAGGCAACAGAGCAGAACTCCATCTCAAAATAAATAAATAAGTAAAGAAAGAAAGAAAAAAGAAAAGAAAAGAAAGAAAGAGAAAGAAAGAAAGAAAGAAAGAAAGAAAGAAAGAAAGAAAGAAAGAAAGAAAGAAAGAATCACTTCTCTAAATAAGGTAATTTTAGATTAAAAATATTATGAAAATAAATGAAGATAGTGTGACAGAAAGTGACTGGGGGAGGGCAACTTCAGCGTGGATAGTCAGAGTGGTTGCCTTTGGCCTGAGGCCGACACAATGAGAAGGATCAGGGCAAAAGCCCCAAGATGGGACTGAGCTTGGCACATGGTTGAGCAATGAAAAGAAGGCTGGAAGTGAGGCAAGACAGCTGGGCAGGGGCCACCAAAAGTCAACAGTTAGCATCGTCATCATCATTATTAACTGTCCCCAACTGGGTCTCAATTTTGTGGATTTCTTTGTAAGTGGGCCAGAGAGGGTGCTGGGAGAGCAAATCTGGGAGAATGGCTTCCTCCCAGGAAATCCACTGGGGAAAATCAGTGAGATGTGTCTTTATTCGAGTTTTGGAGTCAGTCAACAGCGCTTTAGGGTCTTATGAGGTGCTTGTGGCAAAAATGATTGGCTTAATTATAATTGGATGCCGTCTAGCTGATATGCTGGGGGCACTAGATGTTTGAGCTTTTTGTTTTTGTTTTTGTTTTTTGAGACAGAGTCTCGCTCTGTTGCCTAGGCTGGAGTGCAATGGCACGATCTTGGTTCACTGCAACCTCTGCCTCTCAGGTTCAAGCAATTCTCCTGCGTCAGCCTCCCAAGTAATCGGGATTACAGGCGCCCGCCACCACGCCTGGCTAATTTTTTTGTATTTTTAGTAGAGACAGGGTTTCACCAATTTGGCCAGGCTGGTCTCAAATTCCTGACCTCAGGTGATCCACCTGTCTTGGCCTCCCAAAGTGCTGGAATTACAGGCATGAGCCACCACGCCCTGCCACGTTTTAGCTTTTTCCAGGTGGGAGTTTAGCTTTGGCCCTTAACCCTTCTCATGGGAGAAAGTAACTGTGATTTATTATTTGAACTCTGCAGACTTTCAAAAGCATTTTTTGTTATATTATAACAAAAAGTAAAGGATTGTGACAAACTAGAAGGTATGGAGTGGAGGAGAGGAAACCTAGGGAAGACTGCTGCAGCTGAGTGCTAAACTGCACACTGAGCTCCCTGGTAGCCAATGCAAAGAGAGAAACTGGATGAACCATATCACATTCTCAGCCTGTCTCTAGGGAGTTGACAGTAGTCCTGTAGACAGGCAGGTTCAGGCCAGTGCCTCAAGCTTGCTTGTCCTAATTCGTCTCCCTTTTCAGTCCCCTTTGTCTCCTCCTTTCTTCTTGTCAGTATTGCAGGACTTATGAGCTACCCTTTGCTAGCAACATGTTTCCTTTGAGGGCAGGGATGAAGTCTGTTGCCTATAGTTGATTTCCTGGTGTCCTTAGGGTCTCACATAAGAGATACTTAGTATGTATTTTTTGAATGAGTGAATAAAAGAAGGTTGTTAGTGTTTCTATGAAGGCTTTGCTGTCCCAGTCACAAATCCTTACCTCTCCCTGTTCTCAACCTCCCCTTTCCCTCTCCTTTCATGAATCTGCCTCTTCCTGGGGCGAGGAGGTCTGGGGGGCTGTGGGTACCTCCCCTCTCTCTGAATGGTAGGAGGAGCCATTTATTCTTGTCTCCCTGGAAACCAACCCCACCACCGTTTTGACCCGTCTGCTGGTGCCTTCCTTCCTCTCAGCATTTCCTCCACCTGGAGCAGAGGGGCTTCAGGACCAGCAGAGTAGCATTCTTCCACACTTTGGGCAGGACCCAAGGTAACCACTCTGGCTGTCCACTCGAAACATGCCCTTCCCTAGTCATGTTCTGTCACACTATCTTCATTTATTTTCATAGCATTTTTAATCTAAAATTACCTTATTTAGAGCAGTGACTTATTTATTTATTTATTTATTTATTTATTTATTGAGATGGAGTTCCGCTCTGTCACCCAGGCTGGAGTGCAGTGGTGCAATCTCAGCTCACTGCAACCTCTGCCTCCCGGGTTCAGGTGATTCTCCTGCTTCAGCCTCCCAAGTAGCCGGGACTACAGGCAACTGCCTTGCCTCTCTGAGTCTCAGTTTCCCCACTGGGCAAGGGCGAATATTTCCTCCCCATGCTGCTAAGGGGAACCAATCACAACTTTATTAATATCATTTTAAAGCATTTTATCAGAGGACTTCAGAATTTTACTTTTTTAAGCAATTCTTCAATGAAGACATTTTTATTATAAAAAATTTAAACATAAAGTTATTAGTATAATAAACCTCTACACATCCATCATCAGATTCAATATAACAGTTTATTTTTATTATTTTACTTTATTTATTTATTTATTTAGAGACAGGGTCTCACTCTGTTGGGCAGGCTGGAGTGCAGTGGCACGATCACGGCTCACTGCAGCCTTGACCTCCCTGGGCTCAGGTAATTTTCCCACCTCAGCCTCCCAAGTAGCTGGGACTATAGCTGATTTCCTGGTGCCCTTAGGGTCTCACATAAGAGATACTTAGTATGTATTTTTTGAATCAGTGAATAAAAGAAGGTTATTAGTGTTTCTATGAAGGCTAATTTTTCTATTTGTTGCAGAGATAGGGTTTTACCATGTTGCCCAGGCTGGTCTGTAAATCCTGGGCTCAAGCAATCCTGCCGCCTCTGCCTCTTAGTGATAGGATCATACACATGAGCCACCGCACCCGGCCTAACAATTTATTTTTAATTATATCCACATCACATGAATAGAGGTTTTTTTTTTGTTTTTTTTTTGAGACAGAGTTTCACTCTTGTTGCCCAGGTTAGAGTGCAATGGCACGATCTCGGCTCACTGTAACCTCTGCCTCCTGGGTTCAAGCAATTCTCCTGCCTCAGCCTCCTGAGTAGTTGGGATTACAGGCATGCACCACCATGCCTGGCTAATTTTGTATTTTTAGTAGAGACAGGGTTTCTCCATGTTGATCAGGCTGGTCTTGAACTCCCAACCTCAGGTGATCCACCCACCTTGGCCTCCCAAAGTGCTGGGATTACAGGAGTGAGCCACCATGCCCGGCCTAGAGTTTCATTGTAAAGCAGCCCAGCATTTTACATAAGTTTTTTTTTTTTAAGTCCTTTACCCATATATAGAAAATTCCTTAAAAGGAGTTTTCTAGGCCTTTGACATATGTGTGTGTATATGTGCACACAGAAAAAGTTTTACTGATTTAACATAAAATAGTATCATACTGTCTATATTCTACAAGTTGGTTTTTTTGATTAACTATATGTCTTAGAGCGCTTCTTATGCCAAAATATGAAAGTCTAGCTTCTTTTCACCAGCTTGGTCTGCAGTTGCGGCTGCATCCTGGCTAATTTCACCACTGACTCCCATTGACAGTTTCCAACTGTGCTGTTGTGACATCTCACAGTGCACGATCTTGTCTATGACCCTGTGCACAGGTGCCCATTTGTTTTAAAAAATACTTTGAATTGGGATATTTGGGTTCAAGTGCATGCATATTTGAAGTTGTAATAGTGGCCAGGTGTGGTGGCTCATGCCTGTAGTCCCAGCACTTTGGGAGGCCGAGGCGGGAGGATCACCTGAGGTCAGGAGTTTGAGACCAGCCTGACCAACATGGTGAAAACCCGTCTCTACTAAAAATACAAAAACTAGTCGGGCGTGGTGGGGCATGCTTGTAATCCCAGCTACTTGGGAGGCTGGGGCAGGAGGATCACTTGAACCTGGGAGGCGGGAGTTGCAGGGAGCCGAGATCGTGCCACTGCACTCCAGCCTGGGCAACAGAGCAAGACTCTGTCTCAAAAAAAAATTTTTTTTATAATAAATAAATAAAAGTTATAATAGTTATGGCCAAACTTGTCTCTAAAAGATACTAATTTACTCTCTCCCCACAACAGAGTACAGAAATACTCATTTCGTACTCATCACTAATAGTGCAAATTATCCTTTTTTTTTTTTTTTGGTCTTTTCCAGTCTGGGAGTGGAAAGGGTTAACTCTTTAGGTTCTAATTTTCATTTTCCTGATCACCACTGATTCCAAACATCTTTCACTTTGTTTATTTACTGTGTGTCTTCTCCCCTGTGAGGTGCTTGTTGATAATCTTAGCTTTCTTTTAGGTTGTCTTTCTATTGATTCATAGGTGCTTTTACAGACTTTTAAAAACACATTGCCTTTTTTTTTGAGAGAGAGTCTCGCTCTGTTGCTCAGCCTGGAGTGCAGCGGTGGGATCCTGGCTCACTGCAAGCTCCGCCTCCCGGGTTCACATCATTCTCCTGCCTCAGCCTCCCGAGTAGCTGGGACCACAGGCGCCCGCCACCACGCCCGGCTGATTTTTTTGTATTTTTAGTAGAGACGGGGTTTCACGGTGTTAGCCAGAATGGTCTCGATCTCCTGACCTCGTGATCCGCCCACCTCAGCCTCCCAAAGTGCAGGGATTACAGGCGTGAGCCACCGTGCCTTTTTTTTTTTTTTTTTTTTTTTTTTTAAGACAGAGTCTCGCTCTCTAGCTCAAGCTAGAGTGTAGTGCGCCACCACACTCGGCTAATTTTTTTGTGTTTTCGGTAGAGATGGGGTTCTGCCATGTGGGCCAGGCTGGTGTTGAACTCCTGGCCTCAGGTGATGCACCTGCTTTGGCCTCCCAATGTGTTGGGATTACAGGCCTCATCATTTCTTTCACTGGTCTGGGCTGCTTCTAACACATCCTCCAATTATGCAGCCAGAGGGGTCTGAAAACACCCATGCACCATACCCCAAAGTCTCATCATGCCAGTTTCCTAATTCAAGGCCTTTTGTGACTCTGGCCCTTAGCATAAGCGCTGCCCTCTCACCCTGGCTGATGAGCTGGCCCCACCCAGCCTGGCCCAACTTCCGAGGTCCCAGGTCAGAGAGCTCTGGGAAGCCCCCTGGCGCTCTCTGGCTGTGAAGGGCCCCCTGGGTACCGCAGCTCCGGCACCCGTCTGAATCGTAGCGCTTGGTTCTCAGTGACACTGCGGGCGGAAAATAATTGGAGTTGCATCTTGTGCACCCCTGACCCCCCAGCACTGGGGCCGGAGCGCGGAGCAGGCGCTCCGCAAACATTCCTCGGGTCCGCGCAGGCAGGAAGGAAGCAAAGAATGAGGCTGGGATTCCTGGTAGCCGGCGACACAGACCGGAGCTCTGATGTCCCCATGGGTTTGGGGAGGGCATGGAGGCCAGAGACAGGGGGCAAGAGGCCCCGGTTCCCGGCGCTGAGGCTCCGCGCGTCCCGGCCCGGTCCGCAGGGCAGACGGCGCTGAACATCGCCATCGAGCGGCGCCAGGGGGACATCGCGGCCGTGCTCATCGCCGCCGGCGCCGACGTCAACGCCCACGCCAAGGGCGCCTTCTTCAACCCCAAGTACCAACACGAAGGCTTCTACTTCGGTGGGTGCTGCCCCCGCCTGGCGCGGAGTCTGGGAGGAGGGAGGAGGGAGAGGAAGTGAGCGAGGAGGGAGGAAGGAAAGAGGGAGGAGGGGGGAAGGAAGAGGAAAGGACGAAGGAGGAAGGAAGGGAGGAGGGAGAGGAAGGAAGGGAGAAGGGAGAGGAAGGAAGGGAGGAGGGAGAGGGAGGAAAGAAGAGGGAAGCAGGAAGGAGGGAGGAAGGGAGGGGGAGGGAAGGAGGAAGGGAGGGAGGAGGGAGAGGGAGGAGGGAGAGGGAGGAAGGGAGGAGGGAGAGGGAGGAGGGAGAGGGAGGAAGAAAGAGGGAAACAGGAAGGAGGGAGGAAGGGAGGAAGGGAAGGGAAAGGGAGGAGTAAGAGGGAGGGAGGAGGGAAGAAGGAAAAGGGAAGGAGGAAGGGAGGAGGGGAGGGAGGAAGGGAGGAGAGAGAAGGGAGAGGGAGGAGGGAGAGGGAGGAAGGGAGAGGGAGAAAGGGAGGAGGAAAGAGGGAGGAGGGAGAGGAAGTGAGCGAGGAGGGAGAGGGAGGAAGGAAGAGGGAAGCAGGAAGGAGGGAGGAAGGGAGGAGGAGGGAGGGGAAGGAGGGAGTGGGAGGAGGGAGAGGGAGGAAGAAGGAAGGGAGGGAGGAGGGAGAGGGAGGAGGAAGAGGGAGAAAGGAAGAGGGAAGCAGGAAGGGGGGAGGAAGGGAGGAGGAGGGAGAGGGAGGAGTGAGAGGGAGGGAGGAGGGAGGAAGGAAGAGGGAAGGAGGAAGGGAGGAGGGGGAGGGAAGAAGGAGGGAGGAGGGAGGCGGGAGAGGGAGGAAGGGAGAGGGGGAGAAGGAGGGAGGAGAAGGAGGAAGGAGGGAGGAGGGAGAGAGAGGAAGGAAGGAGGGAGGAAGGGAGGGGCCACCTCGCTCTGACCTCTACCCTCACTGCCCCTGCCTTAAGAGGCTCTGGTGCCCCAGAGGACAGAGCTGGGAGGGGAGGAGGCTGGGCATGTCCATCTGAGCAGGACACCAGGGTGGACCAGAGAAGGAGGGGTTGGGAGGAGGTGTTGGGGGAGGAGTCCATGTTCTGGGGTGTCACCTGGTGGTCTTAGAAGCATCGTCCTGGGCAGCCCTCTGAGGGAACAGAGACCTGGGAGGGAGGCTGAGGAGGGAGCCCCATTTTACAGGCGAGGGGAAGGCTCTGCAAAGGGAAAGGACTTGCCCTGGGGTAGCAGGGCGTCGACTTAGACTTAGTGGCCTCCAGCTCTGACCACTGTGCCCAGGCCCAGAGCATCTCAGGACTGCAGAGAGGTAGTCAAGGGTGAGAGGGCAGAGTTCCCCTGCCTGACAAGTCACAGAGTCCAGAAGCGACTGGGGTTAGGATGCTCTAGGGGGGAAAAAAAAATGAAATGCATAATTTAGATAGAGTGAAAGTCACCTGTTTTAGAGGACAGTTCTGTTCATTTTCACAATGCGTCCTTGAGTTGGTTAACCACCACTGCGATCAGGAGAGGGAACAAATGGCTCCATTACATTCAAAAATTTCTCTGTGCAACTTTGTTGCAGAGGAGACCCCTCCTCCCACCCAGTCTTGCCTGACTGATGATCACCCATCTGTTTTCTCTTCTGGGTGGTTTTTTTTTGAGATGGAGTCTCACTCTGTGGCCCAGGCTGCTGGAGTGCAGTGGCACCATCTTGGCTCACTGCAACCTCTGCCTCCTGGCTTCAAGCGATTCTCATGCCTCAGCCTCCTGAGTAGCTGGGACTATCTTCTGGGTGGTTTTTTGGTCAGTAGGACTAGCTACTCTACGCTCTGGGCAGCCCTGGGTGTCCAGGTGTGGGTGTCCTAGAAAACAGAGTCTTGTCCAGTTCATAGTGTGTCCCCATTGTCCTGCATAGGACCTGGTTGGAGCTGGTGTTGGGAAGCATTTGTTGGGTGGGGTGAGGAGAGGGGAGGCAGCTGAAGACCTGGTGTCCAGGACTGGTCGTGTCCCAGGCTTGCTGCGTGACCTCATGTGAGTCACTTGCCTTATTTGTTCTTAACAAGCATTTATTGAGCACTTACTATCTACATCAGGTACTGTTCTAGGTACTTGAAATATATCAGTGAACAAAACAGAAATCCTTGCCCTCATGGAGCTTACATTCTAGACAAGGAGAGACTATCGGTAACAAGCATTATAAATAAGCATTTTATATACTATGATACAAAATGATAAGTGCTCTTAAAAAGTACAAAGTGGACCAGGTGCGGTGACTCACACCTGTAATCCCGGCACTTTGGGAGTCCGAGGCAGGTAGATCACGAGGTCAGGAGTTCAAGACCATCCTGGCCAACATGGGGAAGCCCCATCTCTACTAAAAATACAAAAAGTAGCCGGGCGTGGTGGTGCATGCCTGTAATCCCAGCTACTCGGGAGGTTGAGGCAGGAGAATTGCTTGAACCCAGAAGGCGGAGGTTGCCGTGAGACGAGATCGCACCACTGCACTCCAGCCTGGCGACAGAGTAGGACTCTGTCTCAAAAAAAAAAAAAAAAAAAGCAGAGGACAAGGAATGAGGAGTTCTGTCTGGGGCAAGAGGAAGGTGGATTTTAATTTTAAACAGAGTGTTTAGGGTGGTTCATTGAAAGGTGATGTTTGAGCAAGGACGTGAAGGAGGTGAGGGAGTGAGTGACTCGACTATCTACAGACAGAGGGGATAGACGAGCGAAGGCCCCGGGGCCGCCTGTTGGAGGAGGTGGAAGAAGGCCATTGTGGCTGGAGAGAGTGAGTGATGGGGAGAGGAAGTCAGAGGATGCAGGGGCTGCCGTTGGAACCTGAGCTTTCATTCTGGGAGACGCACTAGCAGGTTGATCTGGCTGCTGTGCTGAGCAGAGGATTAAAAGGCCAGGGTGGAGACAGGGAGGCTAGTTAGGAGGCTGCCGCAGTGATCTAGCTTCACTCTTCCCCATAGAAGCGGAAGATGGGGAGAGGGCCAGGGAACCTGAGTTGCTAATCCTGCTGAGATAGGATAGGGGCCCCAGTCCTGGGGCTTGGGAATGCCGCTTCTGGCCCATGAGAGAACCAAGCTTCGGTGTGCCCACCCGCCAGGTGAGACGCCCCTGGCCCTGGCAGCCTGCACCAACCAGCCCGAGATCGTGCAGCTGCTGATGGACCACGAGCAGACGGACATCACCTCGCAGGACTCGCGGGGCAACAACATCCTCCACGCCCTGGTGACCGTGGCCGAGGACTTCAAGACGCAGAATGACTTTGTGAAGCGCATGTACGACATGATCCTACTGCGGAGTGGCAACTGGGAGCTGGAGACCACTCGCAACAACGATGGCCTCACGCCGCTGCAGCTGGCCGCCAAGATGGGCAAGGCCGAGGTGGGGCCATGGGGCGTGGGGAGGCGGGAGGTCGGGAGGTCAGGAGGCACAGCTGCCACTCTCTCAGCGCCGGGGGCCCTATCGGGGATTCAGAGACCACAGCCTCAGCCTTGAGAAGGTCCCAGCCTTAGGTCCAGAAGTGCAGTGGTGTGGCGGCCCGAGGCGGTTTGTTCTGAGGGCCACGCAGAGCTGGTGAAATGCAGCCCGCTCTCTAGACTTCAGTCCCTAATACGCCGCGTTTCCATCTCTTGTCCTTAGGCTGGGGGAGTCTGAGGCTGAGGTGACACAGAAGCCCCAGCAGGGCTGAGTGGGTGGCCCTTGGGGCCTTCTGCCTCTCACGGGGACGGGAGTTCCAGAATGGCTGCTCTGGGCCCAGAGCTAATATGCTGCCATCTGCCAGTCATGGAGAGACCCCAGCCTGTTTGTCCGGCTGGAACTCTGTGCCGTGTCCCCAGCCGAGAGTGTGGCTGCTTTGGGCCCTTCTTGCCTTGTGTGATGTGGCTGAGATAACCGAGGCTTAGCTGGGAGCCTTGGTGAAGACTTGAGCAGGGCTGGGCTCGGATCTCTTTCGGGGGCCGGCGCCATGGCTTTGGTCTGAGACGTCCTTAGGGGACGGATTCTGGGGTCCGAGTGTGTTCCGCAGCCTCACTGTCTCACTCCTCTGCCAGGAGGCTGTGGCTCCTGGGACGCCACCAGAGGACACTGGGGGGTGGTGGCTGTTGAGTCATTGCAGCTGTGCCAGCCTCAGGGTACCCGCCTCCCTGGTTAGCTGCCCCGAGGGCCTTGGTCCTGTCCCAAGTGGTCAGGCCTGGGGCCCACAAGGGGCCTTTTGATTCGCCTGTGGGGGAGGAGGAGATGGAGAACTGCTTCAACAGAGGAGGAATTGTGTGTCCGCCTCCCCGCAGCTCCTGCCTACCCTCAGGGTCACAGCTTGCTGGGGCTTTGAAGAGTCAGCTTGCGGTTACAGAAGGAGCCTTCTCCAAGGCCATCTTCCCTGTGTGCCACTGTGGCGGGTGCTGTCCCTGCCACCCCAGCCCGGGGAGGAGGCTTCCTGCATGGAGCATGGCCCCAGGACCCCCTTGTTTTCTAGGGGACAATGTGCCCGCTGTGACTGGCCTGGGGGAGGCACCTGTCCCCTGCTTCCCTCCTCTGTTCCGTGTCCTCCAAAAAAACTTTTCTGGTTGCAACCCAGGTTGGTCACCGTCCTGGGGCTTTTATAGGCTGGGCTGCGGGATGGAGAGACCTGACCTTATCCCTAGAAGCTCTTTGCCTGGGCTGTCATGACAGATAGGATGGGAACCCACGGGGTCTTGTGAAGCCAGGTCTCTGACACTGTCCTTCCCAACAGTCCCGTCCTCTTGGGTCTTGAGCTGGTGCCCTAGGAAGCCCATGTCTCATCCGGGGGTAACCCAGGGCTCAGCTTTTTGGAAGTAGGGAGCCAGAGACAGCGGCTCTGCATCCAGCCTGCACTTTGGAGCTAGCCAAGAAGCTTCTTCTGGGTCCCACCCTGGAGATTTTGATTTCATTAGTTGATGCTGTGGGAATTTTATTTATTTATTTTTTTTGAGACTAGAGTCTCACTTCATCGCCCAGGCTGGAGTGCAGTGGCGCGGTCTTGGCTCACGGCAACCTCCGCCTCCCAGGTTCAAGTGACTCTCCTGTCTCAGCCTCCTGAGTAGCTGGGATTACAGGCATGCACCCTCACGCCCGGCCAATTTTTGTATTTTTAGTAGAGATGGGGTTTCACCATGTTGGCCAGGCTGGTCTCGAATTCCTGACCTCAAATGACCCGCCCCTCCTTGGCCTCCCAAAGTGCTGGGATTACAGGCGTGAGCCACTGCACCTGGCCCATGCTGTGGGAATTTCTAAGTTTCCCAGCGACCCCAACATGCAGCAGAGTTTGAGGATCACTGACCTACCGAAGTCCTGCGGGCCTCCCTGTAGTGCGTGGCGTTTCTCGTCACCAGCTGTCTGGCCAGAGTGGTGAGCCACAGCTGGAAGGGTCTTGGCTTATGGTGGGCTGGGGACACTGAGAACACTTCTGGCTTCTTCTCAAGTCCAGAGCAAATAGAAACTGTTTCTAAAAAATCATCAGTGCCTGGAGTTTTCACTGAACTGGGGCCCCAGCTGGTGTGAGGCGTTTCAAGCCGATTGTGCCGCTTGCTGCAGCCTGCGAAGAACCTTCACACCTTTTGTCCCTAGTGTTCACATCCCCCAGTGAGATGGGCAGAACAGCAAGCTGTGTGCGCATTCCGCAGATAAAGACGGGGCCCAGGGGCCACGGCGCCAGGCGCAGAGGCAGGTCTCCACCCAGCCGGGGCGGGGGTATCTCCTGGGCCCAGCCCGCCTCTGGCTGGTCCAGCCTGTTGGCCTCAAGCCCCTGTTCTGCAGCTGACAGTCGTTCCTCGTCCTGTCCCAGATCCTGAAGTACATCCTCAGTCGTGAGATCAAGGAGAAGCGGCTCCGGAGCCTGTCCAGGAAGTTCACTGACTGGGCGTACGGGCCCGTGTCGTCCTCCCTCTACGACCTCACCAACGTGGACACCACCACGGACAACTCCGTGCTGGAAATCACCGTCTACAACACCAACATCGACGTGGGTCTCCTGCGCAGGCAGGGAAGGGCAGGGAACGGAGGGCTGGACCTCAGGCCAGGGGCTCCGAGGACGCTGGGAAGACCCAGTGCTGCCAGCTCCACGCCCCCGTGTCTGCATCTCCCACTCTGCTGCCTCAGTGGGCAGAGTCAGGCACAGAAAGGGCGAGGCCTGGGACAGATGCTGGGCCCGCCTCTTCCTGGTTGACCTTGGACTGTAGACCTGAGTGGTGGTGGTGGGGGCAGGTGGGGCTCTTCTGGACCCAGTATCCGGGGCTGTTTGGGTGTGGGTGTGGGTGACAGGGTGGTTGGGGTTGATCCTTTCCATATTGTTTCTCTCCCACCCCCCTGTTGGTGTATATGGCCAGGTTTAGAATTCTTTCTTCCCCAAAACCTGGTCCCAAATGAGGGTCAGAGGGTGCGCTGAGGAGCAATCAGGGAGGCCTTCCTGGAGGAGGCTAGAGGGGAGAGTTTGGTGCAACCGGAGGTGAAGAGAGGAGCAGCTATGAGAGGTGTTCAGCTCTTGGGGGAAGTGAGGCAGCAGGCTGGGTCTTCCTCCTTCATACTTTACAGAGAGTCATGCTTCCCAGAGTCTCCTTGCCTTGGGTCTTCCCAGACCCTCACGGCAGCCTGGTTGGTAGGACAGGGATTGTTAGGAGTTTTATAGGTGAGGAGTCTGAGGCCCAGAGAGGGTCAGGGACTGTCCTAAGGTCACACAGCAAAGGAGGGGCAAACTGGGGCTGGAACCCCTATCGCCACCTCCTGCCCGCTTCTATCCTCCACTTTCTGCTGTACATCAGGTCCTCCTGCTGCAAGCCCAGGCTCCTGTGGCTTCTGACTACTGCCCGAGTACCGCGGGGAGGAGCCTCAGGAGCCAGAAATCGCCCTCCCAGCATTTCCAGCCAAACCCGTCCGTTGGGCCTAATGATGGACCCCGGCAGAAGGGGCGGCACTGCCTCAGAGCTCCCACAGGCCTTTAGCAAACGGTCGCTCCTTCTCTCCCTCATCTCCATGGTGACTGGTGGCATTCTACCCCTAGAACCGGCATGAGATGCTGACCCTGGAGCCGCTGCACACGCTGCTGCGGATGAAGTGGAAGAAATTTGCCAAGTACATGTTCTTTCTGTCCTTCTGCTTTTATTTCTTCTACAACATCACCCTGACCCTCGTCTCGTACTACCGCCCCCGGGAGGAGGAGGTACGTGGGCCCCGTGGAGGGGAGAAATGGGGCGGTCAGAGCTGGCGGGGCTTGGAGCTGCCCCACGTGCAGATGGGAAAACTGAGGCCCAGAGAGGCCAGGAGAGTTGGGTGGAGTCCCCCAGTTGTCCTTCACGTTTTCTAGGGGACTGAATAAGTCTTCGGTGCTTAGTTGGGCTAAGCCCCAGGTGCTGAGTTCCAGGCAGACCCATGTTGGGGGGAAAGTTGGAGAATTTGGAGACTCAGGCCCTGCCCAGGGTCTCTGTCAAAATACAGAACTGACTGGGTGTCTCTGCTGTGAGGGCTGCAGGAAATGGGAGGAGGATAAGCTCTCCCTGCCTGCCGGGCCTCGGTTTCCCATGCATCACGTGGGGCCCAGAGCCTCGGCTTTATTGAATGGTGCGGTGAGGCCATGTTGAGTGTCTGGATATGAATGGGTTCTGGAAAGGCTATTGCAATGGAGTGTGAGGCCTGGCTTGAGTGTTTTACCTGTGTGTTGGTCCCTGTAGAGTTGGTGCCAGCCCGGTCCACCTTCCTCCCTGTTCCGACCACCCCTCTGCTATCCCCCCAGTCCCTCCCGCACCCCTTGGCCCTGACACACAAGATGGGGTGGCTGCAGCTCCTCGGGAGGATGTTCGTACTCATCTGGGCCACATGCATCTCCGTGAAAGAGGTGAGTGGGTCACTCGGCCCCTCCAGACCGCCCTGCGAGGCAGGCAGGTGACAGCAGGCCTGGCCTCCGTCCCTCTCTGCTCTGCCGTTACTGCTGGGGGGCTTCAGGGAGGCGTTTCCTTCCCAAGCCTTACCTTTCTGAGTGATAACATGGGAAAAAATGGATAAGACTGGCCTATCCTACCTACTTCATCCATCTATTTCCCTATCCATCTGCCCAGCTATCCACCATGTATCTACCTTCCCAGCCACTCAGTGCCCCTTGTCTTCTTCCACCCTCATCCACCCATCTGATCACCTGCCCTCTTTCATAGACTCAGCCACTCATTCATCCATTCACATGCCCTCTTATCCTTGCCAACCATCCTTCTATCCTTTATCCAACCATCTTTTCATCTCTCCATCCATCCATCCATCCATCCATCCATCCATGCATCCTTCCATCTATCCATCCATCCATCCATCTTCCCTTCATTCATCCATGCTTCCTTCCATCCCATCCATCCATCCATCCATCCATCCATCCATCCATCCTTCCATCCATCCATCCATCATCCATCCATCCATCCATCCATCCATCCATCCATCCATCATCACCCACCCCATCCATCCATCCATCCATCCATCCATGTATCTTTCTTTCCATCCATCCATCCATCCATCCATCCATCCATCCATCCATCCTTCCATCCATCCATCCATCCATCCCTACGTCCTTTCATCTATCCATCCCATTCATCCATCCATCCATCCATCCATCCATCCATCCATCCATCCATCCTTCCATCCTTCCATCCTTCCATCTATCCATCCATCCATCCATCCATCCATCTACCCACCCACCCATCCATCCATCCATCCATGCATCTTTCCATCCATCCATCCATCCATCCATCCATCCATCCTTCCATCCATCCATCCATCCATCCATCCATCCATCCATCCATCCATCCTTCCATCCATCCATCCATCTATCCATCCATCCATCCATCCAATGAATCAACACATATAATCTGAGCACAACTATATATTGTGGCCCTGGAGGAGTGACAGGGATGGGGCAGGAGTTTGCTGTCTTTGAGTTCACAGCCTGGTGGGGACATAGCATGAGCATAAACATCAGAACTTCCATGATGTAGACCAAAAAAAGACCCTAAGCTGGGTTCAGATCAGTGTTCAGAGGAAGGGGGTGACTTTTATCTGGGGACAGGGAATGGTAGAGATGCTTGAAGGCAGAGATGGCGCACTCTGGTGGGGTAGGATTGGAGCACGAGACAATGAGGACAAAGTCATTACAGGGTGGGTATGGGGAACAGCATGAGCGAAGGCTCGGAGGCTGGACGCTAGGCTGGATTTGGGGAGTGGAAGGTGGCTGTAGTGATAGTACAGCCTGGTGGGGGACATAGCATGGGCATAAACATCAAGACTTTATGATAGACCAAAAAAGACCCTAAGCTGGGTTCAGATCAGTGTTCAGAGGAAGGGGGTGACTTTTATCTGGGGACAGGGAATGGTAGAGATGCTTGAAGGCAGAGATGGCACTTACTCTGGTGGGGTAGGATTGGGCACGAGGACAATGAGGACAAAGTCATTACAGGGTGGGTATGGGGAACAGCATGAGCGAAGGCTCGGAGGCTGGACGCTAGGCTGGATTTGGGGAGTGGAAGGTGGCTGTAGTGATAGTACCGCTTTGCAGGTTCTGGGGTGAGGATGGGGTAAGAAGTGAGGGAGATGAGAAGATTGGAGGGAGCGTTCACCTTCACCGTGGAGGTGCCTACGCCCCCCAGGCACAGGTCCCCTTTCAGATCTGCCACCTGGACTCTAGTCTGGCCTTTGTGCATTCAGCCGTCACTGAGTCTTGGTCCTGGGGAAGCACCCCCTGCTCGGCTCCCCGGTGAGGGTCATGCAGAGAATCAGCCCCCCGGTGAGGGTCATGTAGAGAATCAGCCCCCCAGTGAGGGTCATGCAGAGAATCAGCCCCCCGGTGAGGGTCATGCAGGGGCTCAGCTACCCGGTGAGGGTCATGCAGAGAATCAGCTACTCCGGGTGAGGGTCACGCAGAGGCTCGGCTCCCCGGGTGAGGGTCATGCAGAGAATCAGCTCCCCGGTGAGGGACATGAAGAGGGTGCAGTTTGTCTTTCCTTCCTGGCCTTAGGGCATTGCCATCTTCCTGCTGAGACCCTCGGATCTGCAGTCCATCCTCTCGGATGCCTGGTTTCACTTTGTCTTGTAAGTAGGTCTGGCCCCTCGGTTATCGCCTCGCAGGCAGGGTTGACGTCCTGTATGGCAGCTGCCGCGTCCCCCTGGAACAACCACCCTGCCGTGCCACCGTGTCCCAGTCACTCTGCCGTGGGTACACGCCAGGGCTCTCCTGTCTTCCTCCCAGCAGGAGACATGTAGACGCCCATGGAGAGGGTCAGAAAACGTCAGGGCTGCCGGGCGCAGTGGCTCATGCCTGTAATTCCAGCACTCTGGGAGGCCGAGGTGGTGATGATGGCCAACTCCACCCGTCACGGAGCCCCAAGCAGAAGGCAGCCTGGAGTGGAGAAGGCAAGAACAGGCTTAGCAGTCCTGTTTACGGAATTTTTTTTTTTTTTAATTGAAATGGAGTTTCACTTTTGTTGCCCAGGCTGAAGTGCAGTGGCGTGACCTTAACTCACTGCAACCTCCACCTTCTGGGTTCAAGTGATTCTCCTGCCTCAGCCTCCCAAGTAGCTGGGATTACAGATGTGTGCCACCACGCCTGGCTAATTTTATATTTTTAGTAGAGACAGGGTTTCACCATGTTGGTCAGGCTGGTCTTGAACTCCTGACCTCAAGTGATCTGCCCGCCTGGGCCTCCCAGAGTGCTGGGATTCCAGGCATGAGCTCCCGCGCTGGCCTCTTCTGCTTCTTATTTGTTTTGTTAGCGTGGAGGGAGACATTCTTCCTCGTTTCAGTCTAAAATGCAGTTGATGAATCCAATGGTTTCTCTTACAACCGTGCCTGTGTTATGACTTTGGCTAGCTATTTTATAATTTTGGAAACTGCCTGATGTTATAAGACAGTGTTTTTATCCAGATGTCTGAATATGACTGTGTAGGAGTAGATTTTGATTTTGTATGTTTGTGATATATTGTACTTAAAAACATTTTAACCGTGGGCCAGGCACGATAGCTCATGCTTGTAATCCCAGCACTTTGGGAGACCAAGGTGGGCGGATCATCTGAGGTCAGCAGTTCGAAATCAGCCTGGTGAAACCCCCTTCTCTCTACAAAAAATACAAAAACTAGCCGGGTGTGGTGGCATGTACCTGTAATCCCAGCTACTCGGGAGGCTGAGGCAGGAGGATTGCTTGAACCCGGGAGGCGGAGGTTGCAGTGAGCCGAGATCATGCCACTGCACTCCAGCCTGGGCAATAGAGCGACACTATGTCTCAAAACAAAAGCAAAAACAAAAACAAAAACAAAAACAGAAACAAACAAAACTTAATTGTGGTAGAATACATGTAACATAAAAGCATTATAACCGTTTTTTAAGCATACAAATTAATACTTTGAAGTACATTCACGTTGTTGGGCAGTCTTCAGACCTGTTTTCATCCTGCAAAACTGAAACTCCATACCCATTAAACAACAGCCCCTATTCCTCTCCTTTCCTGGCCCCCTGTAACCACCATTCTTCCTTCTTTCCCTGTGAATTGGACTATTTCAGGTACCTCATATGTGGAGTCATATAGTGGAGTCATCTAGCTTATTTCATTTAGCATATATCATACTTTAAAAAGATTTAATGCCAGGCGTGGTGGCTCACGCCTGTAATCCCAGCACTTTAGGAGGCCGAGGTGGGCGGATCACCTGAGGTCAGAAGTTCGAGACCAGCCTGGCCAACATGGTGAAACCCCGTCTCTACTAAAAATACAAAAATGAGCCGGATATGGTGGCAGGCACCTGTAATCCCAGCTACTAGGGAGGCTGAGGCAGGAGAATCGCTTGAGCCTGGGAGGCAGAGGTTGCAGTGAGCAGAGATTGTGCCACTGCACTCCAGCCTGGGCGACACAGCAAGACTCTGTCTCTGCCTGCAGCCCCCCCACCCAAAAAAACCACCACAATTTAAAAAGTAGAGTTTGGGGGACTTTTGTTATAATTGGCTTTTAAGTATAGATATTGGCAGTTTTTGTCATTTTGGTTAAAAATGCAATCATTTACCACATCTTCGGTCTACTCCAGTAGTTCTCAAATCGACGTGGGAATCAGAAATTATGTGGGTGATTTAGATTATTTTTCTACTTTTGTTTTTTTTTTTGTAGAGACAAGGTCTCACTATGTTGCTCAGGCTGGTCCTGAACTCCTGGCCTGAAGCGCTTCTCCTACCTCAGCCTCCCAAAGTGTTGGAATTACAGGCGTGAGCCACTACGCCAGGCCCGTGTGGGTAATTTAAAAAATATACGGTCTCCGGGGCAGCACCCTAGAATCTTCTGCGGCCCTGTGGATGTGTGTTTTTTTTTTAAGTCCCCACCAGCTGCAATCAGCTTATGACTTGCTGTGACTGGCATCTGGTGCTGTCTCTACAGGCTGAATTCTATGGTAGCCAAATGGATCTGAGGCAGCCTGATTCCGGTGTCTTCAGCATCCGTCACGGGGTGACTGCTCAGGGGGTTTAAGGGAGGTTTGGGGGATTTGCATATCTTTGCCCTGATGCTGAGAAGTAAGTAAGGCCCGTGTTTCCTGTGTCTCCTGAACAGTTTTATCCAAGCTGTGCTTGTGATACTGTCTGTCTTCTTGTACTTGTTTGCCTACAAAGAGTACCTCGCCTGCCTCGTGCTGGCCATGGCCCTGGGCTGGGCGAACATGCTCTACTACACGAGGGGGTTCCAGTCCATGGGCATGTACAGCGTCATGATCCAGAAGGTGCGTTGGGAGCTGTGCCGGTGGGAGGGCCCTTTTTTAGATGGGGAAACTGAGATCTGGAGAGGAAGAGGGGCAGGTCACTGCTCTTTCTCCCGAATGCCATGCGCTCCCTTTGCTTTCGGTCAGGCTTTACACGTCCAGACCTTAAATCCCCCAGGCTTGTGGGGCGCTGGGGAGGGGTACACTTCGTGGAGGAATGTTCTCACCCCGGGCAGTGGCGTGCTGGTAAACATTTAACAACCGCTCTGTGTGTGTGTGTGTGTTGTGTGTGTATGTGTGTGTGTGGGTGGAATATATATATATATACGTGTATGTACGTATACACATACACTTATCATACATTTTACTATGTAAAGGATGTGTATCATGCAATTTGAAAATAATGAAAATATACAATACAGTTTATTGTAAATTCCACGTAGCCAGTTGAGTCTTAGAATAATTTGCTTTTTTTTTTTTTTTTTTTTTTGGAGACTGAGTCTCGCTCTGCTGCCCAGGCTGGAGTGCAGTGGCGCGATCTCGGCTCACTACAGCCTCTTCCTTCTGGGTTCGTGCAATTCTCCCGCCTCAGCCTCCAGAGTGGCTGGGATTACAGGCATGCACCACCATGCCTGGATAATTTTTGTATTTTTAGTGGAGATGGGATTTCACCATGTTGGCCAGGATTGTCTTGAACTCCTGAACAGGTGCTCCACCCGCCTTGGCCTCCCAAAGTGTTAGGATTACAGGCGTGAACCACGGCGTCCGGCCTATTTGTTGCTTTTTATTGAATTCTAGTTTTTGTTGTCAACTTTTGGTTGCCATTGGCAGAAGAGTGCTGTTCAGATATGAATGTTGGTTGAGATTTTTCTTTATAAGCAGTGATTAAAGTAAAACAATTAAGATTTATGTTGAACTTTACTTGTTTATCAATGATGTGAGCAACTTCTTTGCTGAATTGGATACTAGTTTGCAAATATCGGAAGAATATTCTGTTGATATTTTTGTGCTATACATAATGTAAAGGCTGCGGACAGAACACATTTTAAATTTGATCTGGATTAATAGTTTCTGCATTACTGTCTTAAATCATTTAGATCTAGATATCAACAAAACAATGAGTCAATCAATCTCTGATTTGTGGCATTTACCAATTTTCATGATGTAAATACAGGAGCCCTGCCTTATTCTTGGGGAAAATGTTCTAAGACCCCCCATGAATGCCTGAAACTGCAGATAGTACCAAACCCTATATAATATGCTGTTTTTTCCTATACATATACATCTATGCAAATAATGAAAATATACTATACAATACAGTTTATTGTAAATTTCACTTAGCCAGTTGAGTCTTAGAATAATTTTTTGCTTTTTTTTTTTTTTTGTGACTGAGTCTCGCTCTGTCACCCAGGCTGGAGTGCAATAGTGCGATCTTGGCTCACTGCAACCTCTGCCTCCCGGGCTCCAGCAATTCTTCCGCCCCAGTCTCCTGAGTAGCTGGGACTACAGGTGTGCGCCACCAGGCTCAGCTAATTTTTGTATTTTTAGTAGAGATGGGGTTTCATCATGTTGGCCAGGCTGGTCTCCAACTCTTGACCTCAGGTCATCCGCCCACCTCGGCCTCCCAAAGTGCTGGGGGCGAGTGGGGGGAAGCAACAAATGATTTTAAGACTCAACTGGCTATGTGGAATTTATAAAATGTATTTTATAAATTAGGCACAGAGATATTAATGGCAATAACTAACAGAACAATGATAACAATACACTGTAATAAAAGTAGGTGAGCGTTGTCTCTCTCTTTCAGACTATTGTATTATGTGTAAGATTTCTGGGTCTTAGTTGACCACAGGCAACCAAAACTGCAGAAAGGGAAATCGAAGAGAAGGGCAGACTACTGTTCTCCTCCCAGGGCCAGTTTCCAGCTACCAACATTATGTTACTGGACATGGAGTTAGGGAGAAACACGCAGATCCACGCCACTCTAGAATTCCCACCATATGGCTATGGTAGAGATAAGTAACCTCAAAAGCACATACAATTGTAAATACAGTGAAATAACTGAACAGGGATGAGTTTTGAACTTTTATTGTCTTTGTTTTATTTAATTAAATTAATTAATTTTTTGAGATGGAGTCTTGCTCTGCCTCCCAGGCTGGGGTACAGTGGCACGATCTAGGCTCCTTGCAACCTCTTCCTCCTGGGTTCAAGCAATTCTTCTGCCTCAGCCTCTGGAGTAGCTGGGATCAAAGGTGAGTGCCACCTTTTTTTTTTTTTTTTTGTATTTTTGTATTTTTAGTAGAGACGGGGTTTTGCCATGTTGGCCAGGCTGGCCTCCAACTCCTGACCTCAGGCGATCCACTCACCTCGGCCTCTCAAAGTGTTGGGATTACAGGCTTGAGTCATTGTGCCCGGCTTGTCTCTGTTTTAAATATAACTTATTTATTTAATTGTAAGTTTTATATGGTTTAATTTTTTGGCAATACAAATAATAATTTATCCTCAACTTTTTTTTCTTTTTTCTTTTTTTTTTTTTGAGATGGAGTCTTGCTCTGTCGCCCAGGCTGGAGTGCAGTGGCACGATCTCAGCTCACAGCAAGCTCCGCCTCCCGGGTTCACCCCATTCTCCTGCCTCAGCCTCCTGAGTAGCTGGGACTACAGGTGCCACCACCACACCCGGCTAATTTTTTGTATTTTTAGTAGAGACAGAATTTAACTGTGTTAGCCAGGATGGTCTTGATCTCCTGACCTCGTGATCCGCCCGCCTCGGCCTCCCAAAGTACTAGGATTACAGGCATGAGCCTCTGCGCCCAGCCTTATCCCCAACTTTATTGAGGTATAGTTGACATATATAATTGTATAAATTTAAGATATACAATGTGAGGATTTGATATAGGTATATATTGTGAAATGATTCCCAATTTCAAATTAGTTAACATACCCATCGCCTCACATAGTTGCCATTTCTTTGTGTGGTGAGAACATTTATGATCTATTCTCTTAGCAGATTTCTAGTCCACAACACAGTATTGTTAACTACAGCCATCATGCTGTCCGTTAGATCCCAGAACTTATTCATCGTATAACTGAAAGTTTGATTTAGTTCTGAATAATGGCTGTGTTTAACAACCAGCTCACAAGCTTCATGAGAAGTTAACGATCAGCTCTTGCGAGCTGTTCTGAGCTGGCTCCAGCATGCCACTGCCTCCAGGAATGTGAGGATTCCAGATGTGAGACCCTATGGTGAAAGGCACAGGGTGAATCACAGGGAGAAGAGAACCTGGGGCTACAGCAGAAACAGAAGGCTTCCTGGAGGAGGTGGGATTCAGAGCTGGGTGTTGGAGCATCAGGAGGATTTGGCTGGGGAAAGGGAGAGTGGCCTAAGTGAGTGAGGAGATGGTTGCGGGGGAAGTGGGAGAGGGTGGGAAGCAGGAAGATCGGGGGACCGTGAATATGTGCTTGTCTTACTCTTGAATTATGTTTATTTCTTTGTAGGTCATTTTGCATGATGTTTTGAAGTTCTTGTTCGTATATATCGTTTTTTTGCTTGGATTTGGAGTAGGTAATTGATTTATAAATGATAGTAACTCCCACATTTATAAACACTTTATTCAGATGTCAAAATGACAAAGCACATGGTAGCCTCAGCAGCAATTAGACCAGCTACCAGTGGGGCACCTGCCAAGCTTGGCATTTTCCAAGCATTACCTTTTTACTTCTGTCAACAACTTGATCAAGTGGGAGTCATCGCCCTGATCATAAGATAGTTGAGGCTTAGAGACTCCAGGATTTGAAACAGGCCAGCCAGTCATAATCCAGCTTCACTGTGTGGTATACACCTCTGGCTTTCCCATTCATTGCTTATGTGGCCCTCACGACCTAAGACAGGTCCTGCAAGTGTTTTCAGCCCGATTTTACAGATGGGGAAACTAAAGTCCACAGAAACTCGACTGATGGTCTTTGCAAAGTAGGAGCAAAGTCATGCCCTGAGGCAACTTCCTTTGGGTTTCACATCATGTTGCTCTCACAGTTTGCTTTAGATATAACTGTGAGAGCCTCTCTGGTCTGCTGGGACCAGGAAGGAGCCCCCTCTTAAAATCTCTCCATGTATGACAGAGGGAACAGCACCATCTGGTTGCATTTCTAACTTCTGCATAGAGAGATCGTTTTCCCCCACATACCAGTTGCTTTTTTTTCTTTTCTTCAGTGACCATTGACATTTGAAATTAGGGAGCTGTGTCCATCTGTCTGGTACCTTTTCTGGGTCACAATTTGTTTATTTATTTGCTCCTTCACCTGCTTGTTTATTAATCCATCTATTTACTCTCTCATTTAATTTGCTCATCCACCTATCTAGTCATCCATCCATCCATCATCCATCATCCATTCATCTATCTAATCATCCATCCATTGATCCATGATCATTGATCCATCCATTGATCCATCCATCCATCCATCCATCAATCCATCCAATCATCCACCCATTCTTCATCCATCATCTAATCGTCCATCCATCAATCCATCCATCCATCTAATCATCTATCATCGTTCTCCCATCCATCAATCATCTCCATCCATCTATCTAATCATCCATCCATCATCCATCTATCCATCCATCCATCCATCTATCCATCCATCCATCCATCATTCATCCATCCATCCATCCATCTATCCATCCATCCATCCATCCATCCATCCATCCATCCATCCATCCAATAATCTATCCAAGCATCCATCCATCTAATCATCCATCCATCCATCCATCCATCTATCCATCCATCCATCCATCCAATCATCCATCCATCCATCCATCCCTCCCTCCCTCCATCCATCCATCCAATCATCTATCTATCCATCCATCTAATCCCTCATCCATCCATCCATCCATTCATTCATTCATCCATCCAATCATCCATCTAATCATCCATCCATCCATCCATCCATCCATCCATCCATCCATCCAGCAGTGAACGTCTACTGTGGTGTGTTGGAAAGAAGGGAAGTGTGAGCCTGATCTTGCTCATGGGAAACTCACAACAGACCATTAGGAAGAGACTCAGGATCTTACAGCCTTGAGGGAGATGACTCAGGCTAGAGGAAGTCAGGAGCTCAAAGACTAGCTGGGGAGCCAGGGACACACACATGGATTATAATTAGCAACTCTGCAAGGCTGGAAGTGATCAAGGGCCGACTGTGGGGTAGAGGAAGGAGAGAAGACTCTGGGTTTTGTTAGGCGGAAGGGCTTTCTGCAGGAGGCCAGGGCAGAGAAGTCAGCCTGATGAGGCTTTGGGAGGACCTGAAGCTGGAGATGGGATTTAATGGCCAGAGAGAAGGAGACAGCAGGCTTGTCATGTGGGCAAATACACGCAAGCTTGTAGAGTAATTCACCAGGCGGAGAGCTGAGGAGAGCACCCTGTTATGTTCCCCTAGCCCTGGCCTCACTGATCGAGAAGTGTCCCAAAGACAACAAGGACTGCAGCTCCTACGGCAGCTTCAGCGACGCGGTGCTGGAACTGTTCAAGCTCACCATTGGCCTGGGTGACCTGAACATCCAGCAGAACTCCAAGTATCCCATTCTCTTTCTGTTCCTGCTCATCACCTACGTCATCCTCACCTTCGTTCTGCTCCTCAACATGCTCATTGCCCTGATGGGCGAGACTGTGGAGAACGTCTCCAAGGAGAGCGAGCGTATCTGGCGCCTGCAGGTGAGTCTAGGTGGAGACCCCAGTGTGGGGGCCTCCATGGGATTCATTTCAGCACATGGTCATTGACGACTGTCAGCACCAGTGGGTCTGCGGTGGGGCCTGAGAATCTGCACAAGCTCCTCGGTGTCGGTTTGAGGAAGCCTTAGCCTAGGTTCTTTGAGTGTAGGGTCTAGGAAGTGTGGCTGTGCAACAGCATGTGTAGAAAAACTCAGGCTTACAGGGGTGTTCTGCTCAGGGTTGACAGTGTGATGGGTGGATGTTGAAGTATGACCTTAGGTTGTATTAAGAGGAGTACAGCGCCTAGGACAATGGAGGTGACAGTTCTGCTCTATTCCATCCTGGCCTGAACACTTCTTACGTGCTGAGGAAACCAATGCATAGGATGGGTCCCGAGGTGGTAACCAGGTGTGGGAGAGGACTGGAGACTGCCTCTTAAGAAATAGTTGTTGGCGGCCGGGCGCGGTGGCTCACCCCTATAATCTTAGTACTTTGGAAGGCCGAGGCGGGTGGATCACCTGAGGTCAAGAGTTTGAGACCAGCTTGGCCAACCTGGTGAAACCTCATCTCTACTAAAAATACAAAAACTTGCCGGGTGTGGTAGTGAGCGCCTGTAATCCCAGCTACTCGGGAGGCTGAGGCAGGAGAATCGCTTGAACCCAGGAGGTGGAGCTTGCAGTGAGTCGAGATCATGCCATTGCACTCCAGCCTGGGTGACAGAGCAAAAACTCTGTCTCAAAAAAAGAAAAAAAAAGAAATGCTTATTGATAAAGGTGAGAGTGCCTTCAGATATCTACAGAGCAACCTGTGAAAGAGGGAGCAGACCCCTTCTGTGGTCCCAGAAGGCAGAGGTACATGGGGGTACTACAGGGAGAAAAACTTTGACGTGACACATAGAAGTTTCTCATTGTTAAGGCCCTCCTTTTTTTTTTTTTTTTTTTTTTTTGAGACAGGGTCTTGCTCTGTCACCCAGGCTGGAGTGCAATGGCGCGATATCAGCTCACTGCAACCTCTGCCTCCCGGGCTCAAGCGATTCTCCCACCTCAGCCTCCCAAATAGCTGGGATTACAGGCACGCGCCACCACACCTGGGTCATTTTTGTATTTTTTGTAAAGATGGGGTTTCACCATGTTGCCCAGGCTGGCCTTATACTCCTAAGCTCAAAGCGATTCACCTGCCTCAGCCTCCCAAAGTGCTGGGATTACAGGTGTGAGCCACTGTACCTGGCCAAGGCCCTCTTAATTGGTTTGTTGATACTGCTACAAGAGAGACTGGAAAAATTATGGCCAGGAAACAGCAGAGAGGTTCCAAGCCTGGGAGGGGGTGGGACTAAATGATGTTTGAATGGTCCTTTGCCATGGGATTCCAGGACCCCAGCCCTGTCAGATAGGAAGCTCCTGGGCTTTCAGAAATACTATTTATATCATGGAGTTTCGCTCTGTCGCCCAGGCTGGAGTGCAGTGGAGGGATCTCGGCTCACTGCAACCTTCAGCCCCTGGGTTCAAGTGATTCTCCTGCCTCAGCCTCCTGAGTAGCTGGGATTATAGACGTCTGACGCAGGTCCAGCTAATTTTTGTGTTTTTAGTACAGACAGGGTTTCACCATGTTGGCCAGGCTGGCCTTGAACTCCTAACCTCAGGTGATCCACCCGCCTTGACCTCCCAAAGTGTTAGGATTACAGGCGCGAGCCACCGTGCCCGGCCTGCTTTTTTGTCTTTGAATTCTGTAGATCAGCCAAACCCTTCCGATCCGTTAAGCATGGGGCGAGGGGGGAGTGGGCTCACTGACGGTGTGTGTGCACTTGTGTGTCCTTGTGAGTGTGAGTGCCTACTCCTTAGACTTGCTTATGTCCCCAGAGAGCCAGGACCATCTTGGAGTTTGAGAAAATGTTACCAGAATGGCTGAGGAGCAGATTCCGGATGGGAGAGCTGTGCAGAGTGGCCGAGGAAGATTTCCGACTGTGTTTGCGGTAACCAAGGGGGAAGGGCGCTGGGGCGGTGGTCTTTGGGGTGGGTAGAGAGGGGCAGGTCAGTGACAAGATGTTAGAGAAACAGTGCCGCTGCTTGCTCACCATAACCACAGCTGCTGTCTCTCCCAGTGGCCTCCTTGGAAGAAGGAATTTGCTTTTGGGGTTGCAGGCCCTGGGATGGGGGTTCCTGAGCTCCAGAAGAGAAAGAGAAGGAGACTGCCAACAGTGGCTCCCCTCTCTGCCTTTTTTTTCTTTTTTTTCTGTTTTTGAGACAGAGTTTTGCTCTTGTTGCCCGGGCTGGAGTACAATGGCATGATCTTGGCTCACTGCAACCTTTGCCTCCTGGGTTCAAACAATTCTCCTGCCTCAGCCTCCTGAGTAGCTGGGATTACTGGCATGTGCCACCCCACCCAGCTAATTTTGTATTTTTATTAGAGGCAGAGTTTCACCACATTGGTCAGGCTGGTCTTGAACTCCTGACCTTAGGTCATCCACCCACGTCGGCCTCCCAAAGTGCTGGGATTACAGGCGTGAGCTACCACGCCCAGCCCCTCTGCCTTTTTGAAAGTGCCTCCACGGTCTCTCTCTGTTTGCTATCTGGTTTAGGGAAGATCTGCCTGCTTGGCACTCCTTTTCCTGCTGTTTACCAGTGTGAGTTCCTATGACCCCAGGTGACTTGAGTCCCATTTTGCTCCTGGCAGATGGAAAGTGACACAGCTACTTTGACAGATCTCTGGCTTTTCTTTTTTCTTTTTATTTTTTAAAAGTCCTTACTTATCCCACGACCACCTTTTCTTTTTCTTTTCTTTTCTTTTCTTTCTTTCTTTCTTTCTTTTTTTTTTTTAAATGGAGTTCCAAGCTGGAGTGCAGTGGTGTGATCTCTGCTCACTGCAACCTCGGCCTCTCCAGTTCAAGCGATTCTTATGCCTCAGCCTCCCCAGTAGCTGGGACTACAGGCACACGCCACCACGCCTGGATAATTTTTGTATTTTTAGTAGAGACGGGGTTTCATCATGTTGCCCAGGCTGGTCTTGAACTCCTGGCCTCAAGTGATCCACCTGCCTTGGCCTCCCAAAGTGCTGGGATTACAGGCATAAGCCACCGTGCCCGGTTCCATGACCACCTTTTCTGATAAGCCCACCTCCTCCTACCCTGACCCAGCTACCTGAGCCTACGGACCACCTTCTTTAGTATGACCTTAACCCACTTCTCTGACTGAAACCCCACCCCTTGGAAAGCTTCATTTCTGACTGCAATGATTACTCTAACAAACATTTCTGATGTTGCCACCCTCACTCTAGAGACCTTCTCTGGATGTGAATTTAAGTCACATCAATGCCTACGGTTGTGTTCGAACACCTCAGACGTCACCCACTCTTGTTAGGGCATAGACCCTAACCACAGGCGCTTCGTGCCTCCTCAACCCCAGCTACACTTGGAGTTTAATCTTCACACCCTCGTGGCCTGGGCCCTCCCTCTGTCTGTCCCCGCTTCCCCTTGGGCTGTCACCAGTCAGGCACAGCTGCTGTTGTCTGAAGTTGGACCCTTTATACCTGTCTGAGCAACTTGCAGGATTTCTGAGTTCCCTACAGTGGAAGGAGAACTGATTCTCTGAGGCCTGGGGACATGGAGATGGGGATAGAGTTCAAACTCCAACGACGCTGGTGTGACCACTGGGGTTAGGGGCGCTCCTGATCTCCAGGACAGACAGAAGGGGAGCTGTGTAGACACCAGGACGCCCCAAACCAGGGTTATTTGTTTGCACTCAGTGAGGCACTGGTGAAATAGTAAGAATGATGATCCCACTTGCAGGATCAATGAGGTGAAGTGGACTGAATGGAAGACGCACGTCTCCTTCCTTAACGAAGACCCGGGGCCTGTCAGACGAACAGGTACTGTTGCTGTGAGGTGACATGGTGTCCACTCCTGTCTCAGACCACGTAACCTTGGGCAGATCAAATCTAAGGGTCCTGACTTTTCCCATCTGTCAAATGGGAGGGTTGAATGGAAATGCTTCTTAGGTCTCTTCCAGCTCTGACTTTTAGAACTCTAGTTGGCATGACTTTTAAAACGGTGTAGCCCTAAGCCATAGAAACACACCATGCAGGCCGGGCACGGTGGCTTGCGCCTGTAATCCCAGCACTTTGGGAGGCCGAGTTGGGTGACTCACCTGCGATCAAGAGTTTGAGACCAGCCTGGCCAACATGGCAAAACCCCGTCTCTACTAAAGATACACAAATTAGCTGAACGTGGTGGTGGGTGCCTATAATCCCAGCTACTTGGGAGGCTGAGTCAGGAGAATTGCTTGAACCTGGGAGGTGGAGGTTGCAATGAGCTGAGATCGCGCCACTGCACTCCAGCCTGGGTGACAAGAGTAAAACCCCATCTCAAAAAAAAAAAAAAAAAAAAAAGAAAAAAAAAAAAAAAAGACAAAGAAACACATTATGCAGAGTGATCTATTTCTAAAATATATATTTTTTAAAAAGCAGATTTCAACAAAATCCAAGATTCTTCCAGGAACAACAGCAAAACCACTCTCAATGCCTTTGAAGAAATAGAGGATTTCCCGGAGACGTCGGTGTAGAAGCGGAACCGGAGCTGGCGTGCGCGTGCGCTGTCTGGCGCTGCAGGCGGAGTCACGGCCTCTGCGGAGAGGCTTTGCGGGGTGATGGAGGTCGCCTTTGCTGGTCTCGAAGCAGAGTGCACCCTCATGTTCAGTGCTCAGTGGGTGTCTGAACTGAGGGGCAGTTGTTAGTTTGTCTGAGTGGGAAACATCCTGGATTTTGTTACTGGGCAAGGAGTTGGTGTAAACCTACAGCCAGCAGCAGTCTGGAGCCTGGGAGCCTCCTGAAGTCCTGGGGAAGCCTCTGATTTTACCAGTTGCAGGTGGGTTTGGCTGGCAGAGATGGGTGGCAGGGAAGGGGCAGGAGCCTTGAGGAGCAGGGAGAGGCGCCTTTCCTCCTGCCAGCTTCCCCCTGTCAGCCCCAGCCCCAGCCCACACGTTGTGCCTTCTCTCCTGCTGTGACTGGGTTGCCTGAATTTGGGGAGACCCTTGATCCCATCCCAGAGTGTGCCGGGGGACGGAGGTAAGCCGGATATCCTGGGGGAGGAAGGGAATGAGCTCTGGAAACATCCTTCCGGAACCCTTCAGGGAAAAGGAGACCATCCTTGGAGTGAACATCCCCTGACGCCCCAAGGTTCACCCCGTCTCAAGCTGAGACAGGTTTTTAGTAGCATGAGTAACACAGGGTTTTAATTTTTCAATATGGAAAAGACATTTCAGTTAAGAATGAAAATTACTACAATGAAGTATGTGATTTTCAAAGTGGAGACAGATTGGGAGCTTTGGGGCTGGATGTAAGTATTATATATTTGGCCTCAGGGTGCCCAGAGCCAGACAAAAAGCTTTTCTTCACACACACAAAAGTCTGCATGAGACACGCCGGGCAAGTCCCGCTGGGCCACTGCGATCTGGGTGAAAGGGCCTGGCTCTTGTCCGTGTCCTGGCCTCGCAGTAGCGCCTGCCTCTGCGCTGGGATCTTGGCTTCAGCTGAAGCAGAAATAGCAGCTGCTCGATCGATGCCATCTTAGAACTCAGCAGTTAGTCGCATACCTCAGTATGTCTCAGTGGGGGAATTTAACAAAATGCCTCAACTGCTTTGGTATGAAGTATTTTTTTTTTTTAACTGTGAATTTTGAAGCTGAAGGGGGAGCTTGTGAGAGAGAAGCCTTTGCCAAGACTTTGGGCTTATTTTTAGGTCCTCATCCTCTGATGTTCTCCTTCTGAAATGACACAGAGTCAGTCTGGGGGCAGAGGTGAAGTGGAGATGGAAGGATTTGCCAGGTGACTGGGGCCGGAACCACCAGAAAATCCACTCTGCCACCATTAGCTAGTGAAAGGATTCATGTAAAAATGTTCCAGGTGGAATTATAAAAATAGTAACCGTGAATGTTAATCTTAAATGGGAGGAATAGAAATTTGACCTTCAGATAACACGGCGATGGATTAGTTCATCTGGCTTGAGGCAAGCTAAGGAGTGTGGACCTGGCAGTGCACTCTGGGCCAGTTGCTCTGCTCTGGGCCACTCCGTGTGCCAGACTAGCTGGGCAGATAGAGACTCTGTGCCCCTGATGGGTCTGGTTGGGGAGAGGTGGGCTGGGGTGTGTGCGGCTTCACAATCCACAGCAGCCCCTGCCCTCC